TGCAATTAGTAGGGAAAGATTGATTTTCTGGAAAAGCCAGAAGTTTCTACCCAGTAACTTAAATGGGGCCCTGGCCCTTGAATAAGCATAGTTATGGCCAATTGCTTAAAAATAAATTTCTTGTCCTTATCATTTTAATCATCAATGATCTGTTTTAAACATGACCACATGCAAACTCCAAAAATATCTGCTAAATATTGAAGCAAGATGGCCTCCCGAAATCTAGAGTGGTTACATAAACATCAAGAATAACAAGTAAAATTGCTGTCAGTTTTGCGTTACGCTTTAAGAGAGTGGAACTGAAACCCTCTGCAGCAGCTTAAAATATATAACTGTAGCTAATCAAATGAACTTACAAGTTCAGAGAAAACACTTATTCAAAGAATATCAGAGATTTATTGTGTACAAGCTACTAACTAATCCATTTCTGGTTTATTAACAAAGAAAATTATAGACTGTCACCCTGTATAGATCCTTACAAATACTTAATAAAATTCAATACCCATTCCTGATTTAAAGAATAAAGGGGTAATAAAAAAAATCCAGGAGGCTAGGACTACAAAGAAGCCCATCTAACCTGATAAAGTGTTTCTATCAGAAACCCATAGGAAGTATAGATACCCTTCACACACACACACACACACACACACACACACACTCATGCACACATGCATGTTGTGCACATGCACACAAACATGCACGCAAGCAAACATCCACACATGCATGCACACACACATGCACACTGAGGAAACATTCCTATTGAGTATTTAAACTCACTTTGATTATCTGATTCTAATGTTCCTGGGACAGACAATGCATTTGAAGAACCAAAGTAATTTAACTGAAAAAAAAAAAAACAAGTATTCTACTTAAAAAAAAAATAAATTAGAGGAGAATTATCCTATAAGTCACTAAAATTCAAAGCAACAGCATGAAAATTTGTACAGGATAGCAACTTGTGCAGGGCAGATTTAGATACCAATAAACAAACAGGTCTATAACCCAACCCAGGCACTAATATAAAGGAATTTAGCATTTAATCAGGTTGCATTACAAATTATGAAAGGATGGAAAAGTCAAATATAAATTTTTTTCTGAAGAAATATTCTTCTACCTTATATACAATGAATAAAATATATTATCAATCATTTCTTCCCAAAAGCCTTAGGAAGAAAATAAATGAGATAAACAGGACAGTAGAGCCCCAAACAATACAAAAACAAAAGGAAGACAAGATGGGTTTATATGATAATAAATCTAAACTATTTGTGTTTTGGGGGGAGGGGTATCAGGACCTAACTGTGAAGGAGCCAGAGGTTGGCCTCAGAGTCAGTCTCAATCGCTTTCCACCTGAGATTTGAGACAGGGTCTCTCACTGGACCTGGAGGTCACTGTCTGCCTTCACTAGCTGGCTAGTGAGTCCCCAGAGCTCTTCTTGTGTGCCTTCTGAATTCTGGTATTATGAAGTGACTAACGTTTGGGCTTTCGTGTGTTTTAGATGAGCACTAAGCAGTTAAAATCAGATCCTTGTGGTTTCACAGTAAGCCCTCACATCAGTCCCATCATACATGTTTTATGATAAAGGATATCAAGTGAAAACACAAGTCATGATTTACAACATTATAACAGTATTCTGAAAATAGCATAAAATAACAAATGGAAATACTGGCAAAGATAAATAAATAAATTCAAGATAAAGAAGATCCAACAGGTCAAAAAAATACACAAAATAAAACTTTCAGCCAAACTCAAGTTCCGTTTAAATAGGAAAGACAAAAGTAAAGTGGAAATCAGGAGACTCATTCCTTCCGAACGACATAGCTGTGCAATGACTCCATGGTACATGGGCATAAACGTGTGTGGACAGCCAAGCCAAGTGGACAGCATAACAGGCAGGGCCTTTTCTGTCTAAGATCCATGTGTGCTTAGCGATTAGGGGAATGGGATGGGGAAGCAGAGGCTGAAGTTTTCATAACATTTGCCCTTCTTTGGAAATACACGTAAAAAGAAGTAATTGGAATCTCCTCACCTTTAAAAGTTCACGATAACATGTGAACTGACTCAATATACAGGTTAAAGTTTTCTTCTGACTCGGCAGCAAGAGTAACACGGAAATGTAGTTACTGATGGTTCCTACAGACTTTTCCAAAGACAGTGTCAGCTGCATAGCCCAGGCTGGCCTTAGGTCAAGCTCTACTGCCATCCACTAAAGTGGCTGGAATTGTAAGCATCTGTGAGCATCTACCGCCACACTTAGATCTGACAAAGAACTGGCCAGTCCAAAGTCATCATTCAATAAACAAATACGAACGCCTATCCTTTTATGTCTCTGTATTGTTAACCATGTGAGGCTGATGCTTTTTCCAGGTTAAAAAATATTATGTGAGTATTCTGCCTAAATCTTGTAGGTTTCATTTGTGAGGGTTAAATCCAGGGCTTTGTGCATGCCAGGCAAGCACTCTACCAGTTGAACGACATTTCCAGCCCTAGAGTTTATTATTAGCTTTTAACTTTTGAAGTTGTATTTTATCCTGCTGAGAGAATTAGTCCCCTAAACATTGTCATCAACAGCATATAATAAATATAATATAATTCAGGGTTCCCAATGGTGCTTTAAACCATACATCACTCTACTCCTCTAATCAAAGAGGAGATGCTTCCAAATGCTCAGCACTGGACCATCACTGGGCTTACTTGCTGTGAAAGACAACACATTTATTAAGGTCACTCCATTTTCTCTCTTGGGAAGAAGACCAAGATGGTTCTACACTGCTTACTCCCAAACTCCCTTAGCCTTAGATTCATGTTTCTCAGAATGGGCTCAACTTTTAACAACTGCTGTAAAAATGTTTTAATAGCATCCAACTAAAATACTTTGCTATCGTGCATTTTAAAGGAAGTCTTTTAGCTTATGTCCTTAATAAAATAAGCCATGAACAGTTGTGTAAATTGAACAAATATTACTATTGTCATTGCTCATTAGAGTGTACAATAAATTGCAACGGATGGATACTAATGTACATATTTTAGAAATAAGATTTCAATTTCAAAGAGAAAATTTTCTAAAAACAAAAAAAGTCAGTATTAGCTCAATGCTTTTCTCAACCCTTATCAGAGAAGCTTCGATTTGTAGTTGATGATGATGAACACCGAGATCCACAGCTGGGCAAAGAACAGAGAGTGAGAAACTACCCCAGGTCTAAATGGGACATCTGTGTCCTGCACCCTCTTCCCGAGACTCAGGGATTGCTGGAGAAGTGGGCGTTCAGTGAGAGGCAGAGCCAGAGATGGTGACTGCAGGAAACAGTGTCAGCTGTGAGCTAACAGGGACAGCATGCACAGGCACCAGGGTAAGCTCAAGCCAGACCGAATTCCATCATGGAGAGAGGAGGTGGGCATGGAGTCCTGCCTCTAGCTGCGGACCTTAGCACCTGAAACCGGGAGGTTCACTTTTCCTTAAAAGTGTAGTCCCTGAGAAGTCAAACACCCTCCAGTGGACAGCCATAGGCTCAAGAATACATGGACAGCACGAATGGATTTGATGGATATACCAAAAAAGTAAAATAAGTAGGGTAGGTAGGGAAGGGGGTGGATTTGCAAGAAGTTGGGGGAAGGGGTAAATATAATCAAAAACAGCCTATGAGAGTCTCAAAGAATTAATAAAATTTACAAAAAATAAATAATAGAAAACTTTTGACGTGACTGAGGTTTAATAATTTTGTAAACAGAGGTTTTTTTTTCTCTCTTAAAATGGATGATATACTGTTTTCAGCTTTGACACAGATTTTAGAATTATAATGCTAGCCTTTTTTAATTAAATGAAGAAAAACAGCAATATATTTCCCTACCCAAAATTAAGAGTCATTTTTATCCACTCATCTTATTTATGGAGAAACTGGGAAGACAGAACAGGAAATGTTTATCGAGCACTTCACGAAAATGAATTGCTCCTTAACGTATTAGTAATCACAGATGTCACTGTTGTACATTAGCCCTTTGGTTTGTCACGGGTTTGCTCTAGAGAAAACACCCTTACGATCAGTGCTCAAGGCAGCCTCCTTGCTGAGCTTTCTATCTGTCTCACACTATAGGTGATTTGAGCAAATGCTTCCCAGTGACTTAGTTAATTTATAGAAAATGGAATCCATTTCCCTTGTTTCACTGTGACTGAACGTTTTCCTGAGCGGCTGTAAATGAACAAGAGAGGAGCACCATTTATCAGATCACTGGGTAGAGCTTGCTATTTGGATGATTCTGCTTCCTTGTTACTGTTAATGAAATATATAATATACCTCAAGAAAACACAATTGCAGAGGTTGGCCCCTGAGCTCTTGAGATTCAATGAGTATTTTCCTTTGAGTGTATGCTACACTCTTCTTCTAAGATCCCAGATGGCAGAAATACTGTTCCTCAGTGTCTGAGACGTCTTACAGCCCCAAGTCCTGGTCAAAATCGTTGCCAGAGCCCTGGAGCTCCCCTTGAGGCCTATGATCTTCAGAATGCCAGTATCATTGTTTAGGTGTCACACTAGGGTACCTCAACACCCTCAGTGTGACACACCCAAGGGACAACTCACCTCTCTAGCGTCATAGGATTTAGGGATATTTGGTTGAAGAAACCAATGGGAAGTATCCTTTGACCTCACTAACCTGCCCAGCTGAGCATCAGGTAGGCCCACCAGGCATGGTATGCTCAAGCTGGACCAGTACACAGAAGCAAAGGCAAGTGGGATGAAGATTTTTTGTGGCATTCAAGTTTTCCAGAATTAGGTTTTTCCTGATCTTCAGAGGGAGAGAATTATGTGGAGTGTTTCATAGAAATCAGCATCTGTCCTTCACAAACAGACTAATCGCAGTGACATGTGGGGGAGGAAATGCAAAGACATGAACAGTGCCTTTCTGAGCTTCTGCAGTTGAAGGAACAAAAACTGGAGTTTTGGAAAGACAGATCGGTGGTGATGCCCTGGGAAAGCAACCTGGACGCACGTCCCAGTTACTTACCAAGGTCCATGCTCTTGGAGGCTTTCAAGTTAACTGATTCAGACTGCATGGCTGGTGTCACAGATCTAAAATTGACATGCTGATCTGGAAAATACACTGTGGAATCCACTCCAGAGCTGTGGAAAGAAGGTATATATTATATTTAGGCTTAAAGCAAGAGGCAGGCAGGGAGGGAGGGAGGGAGGGAGGAAAAGAAGGAAGGAGAGAGGGAGGAAGATTATGAATGGACATGAATATATAGTTCTCACACTGACTACATTCCCTCTTTTCAACCTGCAGCCATGTATTTTAAATCAATTCTTGTTTCTCAGACTTCTTTTATAGAATTGCAACAATTGTGGCCTATACATTTTATTCCGCAGAAAAAATTTCGCTAAAATGTACGTGGGCTAATAACGTCTTTTGTTCCTCAGTCATTTCTGCTAATTGGGACACTGCTGTATCTGATATAACTTCAGGTGGGTGAGGGGTGCCTGGGAAGCCCCAACACTTCAAAGGATGTTGCTAGATATTAGCCGAGCCCACAGTGGGCTAAGAGATTCCTATGGGATAAGTGGGCCCTTTTAGAGAGCGGCGAAATGACATCTCCTTAAAGAAAAACCTTGAATGACTGACGGCTGCAGGAGACCGAGTTTTACCTCTTTAGGTGATCTTCAAAGAGGAACGGTGATGCTGAGTAGATATTCTGTCCATCAACAAAACCAAAAGGAAGCCACAGGAACAGCACCGTTGACGACTTGGGCACAAATACATTAAATGCCCTTCATGGATTTTTTTCAGTACTTGGGGTCAATCTAAAGAATTTTGCTTCTACTGAATACTCTGTTTTGATTGAAGATTCAGTAGAAATGATTATATAAAGAAATTTTAGATAGTGGCTTATATTTGTTTCGAAATAAGTATGGACACACCGTCTATATATTAAGTTGCAACAGCTTTCTTTCTCTTTTAAAGTGCATACATGCTGCTCATTTCAGGGTGATTCTGTCAGGTGACAAGGCAGGGTTCTTTGACAACCTGAAAGGTCTAGGGGTGGCCTTCAAAGAGTCCGGGATTTTAGACAAACAGCAGAAGCAACATTAATCTTGAATGAAGGTCCCTCTAAAATGCAGAGAAGAATCTTAACTTTCAAACTAAATATACTACCCAAGTTTAATTGCTTTCTTTAAAAAAAACGAATTTTTTACCCTTGATATTTAATATTTCCTGCCAGTAATATTAAATAGTAACCTTGATGAATGAATAACTAAACCTCCGCTACTGTAATGCAGTGGGTAGAAACAGAAAGGGTCCTGATAGGTGCCACAGTCCTCAAGAGTCGGGGCTTTACGTCCTGGCTCTGCTACTTGCTTGTTGTGTGACTTGGGCAAGACATTGGATCTCTCTGCACTTCGCTGATGGAGGAAGGTCATTGGCTAATAAAGGCACTGCCCTGGCCCATTTTATTGGTTAGAGGATAGGTGGGAGGAGAAAACAGGACAGAACGCTGGGAGGAAGAGGAAGTGAGGTCAGAGACTCCACAGCTCTCTTGGGAGCAGACGCCTCAGAGAGAGATGCCATGCCCCGCTCCCGGGATGAAGCTCCGACCCAGGATGGACTAGACTAGAATCTCCCCGGTAAGCACACCTTGGGGTGCCATACACAGATTATTAGAGATGGGTTGATCGGGATAACAGGATTAGCCAGTAAGGGCTAGGGCTAGCCATGTGGGCGGCCGGGTGTGGGGGATGCAGCCCTGCCGCCCCATATTACTACATATGGCGCCCACGTGGACAACTGCTTCCACATAAAGCCTGAGACAGCTTGGGAAGTAATTCTAGAACAAAATGTCAGCATTGTGCCTGGTTTCTTGGTAGCAACAATTTCTCTGTTCTAATCTGCTTACTAGAGGCAAGCAAGCGCCTCATCTAAGAGAGGCTTCCTGACTCAGCTTTAGCTGCAAAGCCTGAAGCTCATTAAGAGGTCCTGCCACGAAACACTTAAACGGTGTTGACGAAAAGCTGAACGCATGCTTTTCGGTTTTCAGCCGTAGCAGGAAAAAAGCTGCGCTGTTTAAAAATGCCGGCTTTCTGGGCCATCCTGCCAGGGCAAACTCTGACTGTTTGAGGCAGGAGGGCCTGCTACAGAGAGAGGACTTGAGTGTTGTCTGTTGTAGCTCACTTGCTGGCAGGGACCTTGAAATGCCATACAGTTGTTGCAGTAAACATGGCTACAGCCTGTATATCCGCCATGAGGCTAGAAAGCTAAGGAATGGACTGGATCTAGCTGGCAAAGCCACGCCTTTAGTCCTACTGAGATTGCTTGGTAAATTAAAGATTCATGTGGTCAGAAAAAGAGAGATATACAGTAAAGAGAGATTCAAAGACAGAGAAAATTTTTGAATGGTTTAAAGTGTGTTAAAAATATATGCAGACTAAAATTTAAAGTTCTTAAAAGTAACAAAAAAAAAAAAAGGAAGAGAGTTGTTGTGTGTGGTAGCACACACCTTTAATCCCAGTGCCTAGAAGGCAGAGGCAAACAGATCTCTGTGAGTTCAAGGTGTAGTAGCATACACCTTTAATCCCGAATGCCTGGGAGGCAGAGACAGGCGGATCTCTGAGAGTTCAAAGACAGCCTCGTCTACAGAGTTACTTCAGGTCAAAGATTCAGAGAACCTGTCTCAAAAAGCAAAAAGTTAAAAGTAAAAATAAATGAAATAGAGGTTAAAACAAAGGTGTAATAAGATGGAAAATAAACAGAGAATTTTGATACTGTATGCTATTATGCTCTCTTTGAATTGTTTGAATGCTGAGGAAGGACAAACAACTGCTAAAAGATATTTGTTTATAAATGCTGCTGAACTAATCCAACATAGATACTTTGAAAATGCCTTAAATTTGAAATTTGGATCTAAGGACATGATACTTTGGAAAGGAGTTTCTTATTTTGTTTTCACAGAGGATGAGACGCTGTTCATTTCTTCTACTCCGATTTGGTATGATGGACCACGCCCTCCTGAAGGGTTGGTGTGAACACCTTCAGAAAATAGCTTCGCTCAACTGCCAACTGAGATGAAACTAGCACACAGGTTATACCATGAAAGACCTAATTAACGACGCCCCCATTCAGCAGGAAGCAGTTTGGAGAGAAAAAACTGCGCCCATGTTCCCAAATATGGTTTATAAACGTTCTTTTACATTTAAAGGGGGATATGATATAGATATGAATAATTTGCATTAGTATAGATTTTGCTTTATTGATAGAGATTTAAGGTCAATTTTGTTATATGTATAAGTGTTTCTGATTTTGATTAAGGTATTGTGATTGTGTAGTTCATTTAAATATGTACTGTATAATTAAGAAATATAGGTTGTTAATGGATAATCATCAATAATAGTAAAGCTTGTAGTCATGTTAGTTAGATTTTCTAGATATATAGAGATGTATTTTAGTTAGATAGACATTCTTCATGTCTTTCAAAGATTACAGAATAGGACATTTAATGTTTTAATAACTGCGGACTTTTCATGACAATGAGACACTCTGCTCCTGGCAGCACCAATCTACTTCAAGAGGAAGATGGGCATCGAAGAGGCTCGTTATGGAGTTTTGATAGCCATTTGGGCAAGAAACTGCTCTTGCCTGGACTATTGCATAAACTGGACACAGAGAACCCGCAGAGAGAGGACTACTGAACTTGCCTAAGGTGAGATGATCTTTCGGGGTTCCTGATTCATTTTGAAAGAGTCTGCGAGACATTCTGCAGGACACAACAGATAGTGACTGAACTGACTTTGAATTTTCCTGCTTTATGGAAATGTCTGCTGGATACCATGGGCCTGAAGGCTGAAGATGGATGCCCCAACGGTACAGAGGAACTTTGGGTGACTGTCCAGGCAGCGAGATGTCTCTGTCATTTCTAGAGTTTTAAAAGTTGCTTTTTTCCTGTTTGCTTAGGTAGTATTGTATCTTTCTGGAGTCTTTGATGGAGTTAAGAATAGTTAGTTATAGTTACAGTTTTCCTTAGTTATGATAAAGATTATTGTAACTTTTACTTGATAACTGTTTTGTTATATGTAATTTTGCTATGTTAAAGCCTTTTTTTTTGTTTAAACCGAAAAAGGGGAAATGATGGAGGAAGGTCATTGGCTAATAAAGGCACTGCCCTGGCCCATTTTATTGGTTAGAGGATAGGTGGGAGGAGAAAACAGGACAGAACGCTGGGAGGAAGAGGAAGTGAGGTCAGAGACTCCACAGCTCTCTTGGGAGCAGACGCCTCAGAGAGAGATGCCATGCCCCGCTCCCGGGATGAAGCTCCGACCCAGGATGGACTAGACTAGAATCTCCCCGGTAAGCGCACCTTGGGGTGCCATACACAGATGATTAGAAATGGGTTAAATTAATATGTGAGAATTAGCCTAGAAGAGAATGGGCCAAGCAGTGATTAAAAGAATACAGTTTGTGTGTTGTTATTTCGGAGCATAAGCTAGCCATGTGGGCGGCCGGGTGTGGGGGACGCAGCCCTGCCGCCCCATATTACTACTACACTTCGCTGCCCTCATACATAAAGGAGTGTAATCACATTGTCCACCCTTCGGCCTTAGTTTCCTCATCTATACAATGTGAAGTAATAGGACTTCTCTGTAAGGTTTAAATAAATTAATAAATTCAGATATGCAAGACACTAAGAATAGTGCCTATCACGTGGTTAAAAACTCAATGTTAATCTTATTTTAGTATTAATAAATTCCTAATTATCTTTTTTCCCCCCTGTGAATCAAGGTGGTTTTGGAATGAGAACTCCAAAGATTACACCTGTTTTCATGGAAACAATGCAGAAAGTTTGAATTGACTCTTCAGGGTTACTAAGATTCCAGGTGCTTCTTTCTCGGTATCTGGTTGCATTGTCAATAGAGGAAGCCTTCAAATGCTGTAGACGTGATACCTAGCGATGGCAGAGTATGCCAACTGTGCTCCAGAGTCCTTGGCTTATGTAGTATTACTGATGGCTCTGTGGTCTAATGGAAACACCCCCATTTTTCCTCCCAATTTTGTAGAATTTAGAGACACCACTGAGATCACGGGCACCCCGTAGGCTTTGGTGCTGCAGAGGCATGTGATACATGTGTCTCTACTC